CTTGCCCATCCCCATGGTGTGGTGCAGGCAGGCCCCACAGAGAGCAGAGAATGACAGGGAGTGGGCCCAAGCTGTCAGTAGCACATCCCCTGAGGGCTCCTGAATTGGAGAGGGTACAGGTCGGGCTGAGGGACCTCCCCGCCTGCCCCACCCCCCCATGCACGAATTTCATGCACCGGGCCTCTAGTTAAATATATGAGACTAGATTTCTTCTTGTTAACATAAGTTGGTGTTTTTACTGTGTTTTTGTTTGTTCTAGAAGGAACACTTTGGTGGTTGTGTTAGATGCTGTTTGAGAAATTAGCATGTTTTCAAAATGAGCAGGCCTGCAGTGGGCTCATAAAGCTACTACAGATAATCCTATTCTTTATTACTGATATCAAACAAGGAATCAAATAAAACAGATGGTAACTTTTGGCAAAGGGACTGATTTTCTTCACTTTCACCCGACTTTACTGCATGCTCTGCACATTCACCTATGTGTCATCCTTCTGAAACTGAAATGTGGGGTTTATATCCGAGTTCCTTGTCTTTCAAAACCAAAGAATGGATTCCCGGACAAAATTGGTTAATGGAAGCAAAGTTTATTGAGAGAAGCCAGTCCTGAAAAAGGTGCAGCTGAGGTTCCAGGAGAGTAAAAAGTAGGCTAGTTTCCAGAGCTTCTGTTCCATGTTGCAACTAGCTGGGTGTAGTTCAGTATCAAAGCTAATTAAAGTCTTAGTCCATGTGTGGAGTCCCACATGGACATAAGCCACATGGGCGCAGGAGAGCACATCCACTGGAACCTAGCATGCCAGAATGAGAGAGAAAAAAAGAGCGTGCTTTTTTGACTAAGGGTAGATACATGCCTTGCTCGCTTCTGATTGGCCCTTTCAAAGAATTCTGCCTTAGCAACATCCTTGGGATTGGTTATACACCCCACTGTCTTGTGATTAGTTACCTGAAACCTGCATGTCATAGTAATATCCATACATTTTAAAGCTTATGTCTCCCATGCACCCTTCTTTCCCTGCCCAGTTGGCTCTAGTTCTAGGTCACTTTGTGTTTTTCTCGGAACAGGACATAGTCAGCAGGCTGAACTCTGCCCGCATCTGCAGGTTTCCACTTCCTAGCCCCCATGGTCCCATCCCTCTCTACCTAGCCTCTTCTTCTATCTCCTCACTTCTTCTAAAATAAGAATTTAATTTACAAACTCCATAAATTAATATTGATCATCTGATAACAGAGGGTTTCTGGTGGGTGATCATTACAAGTTTAGAGGTAATAACCTTGCCCAGTGCTTATATTGTCCCATGTCTAAATATTATACACAGTGTAATTGCAATCAAGTAATTGAATAGAATGATTTTTACATGGAGTTTATTACATTAATCCCATTGCTTTATATACTTGTATTTGTTTGCTAAGGCTACCAAAATGAAGTACCAGAAACTGGGTGGCTGAAACAGTGGTGTCAGAGCCAGCAGGAGCACTGCTCAGTACTTCTCTGAGTTGTTCTCAGTCCATGTATTCTCAATTCTTCCCAACTACACCTGGGCTGGTTCTTCCTCGAACCCTGCTCACTGTACTAACTGTTGGGAACTTAGTCCAAGTTCCTCCTTTATCCCCTGTTCACTAGTTATAGGTGTTGGGTCCCAGCCCCTCTGCCTAGGGCTGGACCTCCTTGGATGCAGAAGCCAGAGGCCATATAGCCATCAGACAAGACAGTTCTTCACAGCAATGTCCATACAGGCAGGCAACCAGACACCAGCTGGTGAATACATATCTTTCTCACATAGCAGCATTAATCTCTGTAACGACAGCTATTATCTGAGCAGCTGCATGCTGCCCCCTAGACTTGCCACCTCACATCATAGTGGTACCTAAGCTCTCTGGCTCAGCAGCTTCTCCTGCCTCCCCTGCCTAGCACACTGGCTGGTTAACGTGGTAGCTATATCTGAGCTCTCTATGAGCTCAGCCTTCCATTGTAGCAGTATCAGCTCTCAGCTCTCAGCTCTCAGCTCTCAGCTCTCCTCTCTCCTGCACACATAGGAGCTACACTCTCTGTGCCTACTGCCTCTGCTTTCCTGAGCTCTCTCTAGCCTCTGCTCTGCCCAGCTGCTCTCTCTCTAGCAGACTAGATGGTCAGTAACGTATATTACTCCAGAGACAAAGAAGGCTAGTTATCAAGGTGATATCAATCATATTTTGGCTACAGAAGGGCACAGTGTACCATGTGTCCTTGCATCCATTCATGGTATCTTGGCCTTGGGCACCCTGATTAGGCTCATGTTCAGAGTGACCTTGGTCATTCTGGTGTATTGACAATAAGGCTTCTGTGCTCCCATTGGCCTTGACTATCCGGGACCCTGTTGTGGTTCCCACAAATGGAAATTTATTTCCTCACGGTTCTGAAAGCTGGAGTCCAAAATGAAGATATTGGCAGGTTTATTTTCCACTGAGGCCTCTCCTTGGCTTGCTATGTCCTCACATGGCCTTTTCTCTGTATGTGCACAGCCCTGGTGTCTCCCTCTTATAAGGATACCAGACATATTGGATTAGGGCCCCACTCTTATGACCTCACTTAACCTGTTATTTTTAAAAGGCCCTGTATCCAAATACCGTCATGATGGGGGATAGGACTTCCACATATGCATTTTGTGGGGAGGCAATTCATCTATAACCACAGTTTACCAAAATGGGTTGGCTTTCTTAAAGGCAGCACCAGTCAGTAAAGCGGCAAAGCACTCAGCAGCCAGAGAATCTCATTTAGATTTAAATACCAGCATCTTCATACTAGTTATTTTCCCTCCCCTCTGTTATCAAGTTACTTAAATTTTTCTAGATTTCAGCTTTCCCATCTGCAAATTCTACTATTGCACAATAGAGTTGTGGTACTAAATACAATGAGGTGTATAAAATGGTTATTCTACTGTAGGGTTTCTCAACTGCAGAACTATAGATATCTGGGCTTGATATTTTTTTTCTTTGGGACTGGAATTGCCTCTCCCATTGTTGAGAACATCTGGCCTACTTCCTGGCACCCAAGTGTTTATTAAACGTGAACTGTAGTTACTTACTGAATATTTAAAAGACTATGGTATTTTTGAGATGCTAATAGGCAAATTCTTACAATAACCACTTTTTGGAAAAGAAGTCAGTGGAATCTCTGGTGAACTGAGAATTTTTAAAGTAATGATTAACTTTTTGGACCCATATTTAATGTAATGTTGCAATTGCTTCTTCATATCTAAGGAAATATGAATTGAATGTTTCTGAGACTTTCAACTTTTTCTGGAAATTTTTATTTTATTTTGAAAATTTCCAAACATATACAGAAGTTGAAAGATTGTTATAATGATCACCCATCACCAAGATTCATCCTATTGTTCACATTTGCCACATTTGTTTTATCTCCCCAAAGGAATTTATACAGCCAAAGGGGGGAAGTGGGAAGAGTTTGTATAAATAACTCAAACATGATTTATGCTGGTAATGTCCTCCTCTTCATCTTTCTGTCCAATCCCACTTATCATTTTAGTGATGGGCTCCCTGTGTATAGGACCACATAGATAATTTAGTCTGAGTATTTGTATCATATGTGCACATCTAAATTCTTCTGAGTGTTTACATATTTTATATGCATAATATCTGTTCTAAGGTGGATTTCTGGCCAGAACCTACTTATTAGTAATAGTCAATGGCTTAATTTGTCACCTATTTGGGAGAGTCGCATTTTATTTCTTTTATTTCTGTTTTTCCTAAGTCATAGTGAAGTCTCTGATTACATTTGTCCCATCAGAATAAAAATAACAAATCAGTAGATTTAAAATTTCTACTTCCAGATAACAATACAAATTAATTCAACCAAAGGACTTGTATGCATGCATATAAGCATAACCAATGGACATAAGACACTGGGGGGTAGGGGAAGCCAGGGGATTGTCAAGGGCGGGAAAAAAAAAGGAGACATATGTAATACTCTTTGTAATAATTTAAGCAATAAAAAAATTAAAAAAAAAAAAGACAAAAAAAAAAAAAAGTAAGGCCTGTGAAACACCCAACATTTATGTTATAAATTTTGATAGCTTTCAGTGGCTACTGAGTGAGACAGATGTCAAACATACTCAGTCATTAAAATTAATTTATAAAAATGTACCTATTACTTGATTTACAGTATCATTTTTAAGTAATAAACATTTTCTCAGAGTTTCTAAAATTAGACCTAAAAGTGAATACAGATGAATATATTGGAATGTGTGTGCAAATTTGGGAATTTCTTTTTTTATTATTTAACCTCCAACCACCAAAAAATTTATTGTATCTTATTTACCTGATAGGACCCTGTAATTGCTTAAAAGAAAAATGCATGTCTGTAATGCTCATTCTAGTGTTTACATTTAAACCCAGTCCTCTAATGTGGTATAATTATAAAACAATTTTAACCTGCAACTAAACAATTTTATGGCTGTTAAATCTGCATAATACATTGTTATCCGTCACACTTATTTTTCTCCATTTCTATCCCATCTCATTTTGCAAGTAAAAATACTCATAAAATCTCAGTGACTAAAATGGTTTATGGTAGTCTTATTGTCACTCTATCTGTAGGTAGATAGAAATTTCATCCTGGATATATAATTTAGTCAATTTAAATGTGGGAGAGAGCAGTACAATGACCTGTAGATTTAAGGATTTAAGTTAGAATTAGCTGGATATATACAGTGTTTAAATGTTGGATGTTACTTGTTTCTGGCGAAGCAGCCATTATTTGTGAGCAGGACTGCATTTATTTTCTTCCCAGTGGTTGAACCAAGCTAAATCTGAGCAAAGCACACTGCTGTGCCAGATCCTGCGTTCTCTTAACCGGTAATAAAGAACCTTGCCAGCCCGACAGGTTGTCACAGCAATTATTCACATGAAGTTCTGTAGCAGTTGTGTCTGTCAGCCCATGTAGTATTGAATATTTTAACTGGCAGTCTTCCAAGACTGAACATTAATCTTACCATCTCCTATTACAGTCCCTAATCAAGACATTCCAGGGGTGATTGCACTAACATTGTTTGAAGACTACATCTACTGGACTGATGGGAAAACCAAGTCACTCAGCCGTGCCCATAAAACCTCGGGAGCAGACAGACTCTCACTGATTAACTCATGGCATGCCATCACAGATATCCAGGTGTATCATTCTTATAGACAACCCGATGGTAATTATTCTTTCCATGATTTCCATAAATGCATCGACATCTTTTAGTGACATTCCATTTTTGTTTCCTCCAAGGTTAAGTGTAAATTTATTTTTAAGAAATATTGTCAGATTTTATTATTTAGCATAATAGTATAGAATGAATTTAGTTGATATCAAGCACTACTATTAAGGAATATGATTGGAAGCTCAATAATAGTACAAACAGTTATTGATTTGTTGAATCATATTAAGCAGAAATGACAATAATACAAAAGTAGTTGAAGAAGTAGACACTGAATTCTTGAAATAATTTATTTACAAAATAGTTACAGGATTCTTAGTTTCTGGAATGCTGGGTAAAAGAAATTATATTTAAGTAGCTCAAGGATTGTAAAAATGAGAAATATATTGTTTTCTTAAGCATATGTCTAATGGGAATTCTATCAGTTGTTTTTAAATAAAGTATTGATTATGTTGCTTAACATACAAAATTAGTCTAATAAACAAAGTGACTACACTGTTAGTTATAGATCATTATTACATTGTTTTATTTTACATTAATATTTCTAAACATATGTATGTCTTCATCCAAAATGCTTCTAGTCTCTGCTGTTATTTTTTTTTAGGGAAAATGATTTTTTTCTACTAAAATGCTTGTTTTTGTGGAAATGCATTCTTAAATTATTTAATGATAAAATTAATGCCATTGGACAACAATAGAATTTGTAACAAAATAAAATTATGTTTATAACCACTGTGTTCTTCATTACAAAGTTCTATTCAATTTCAAATTATGAAGCTTAAATGTCTTATTTCAAATATTATATTATCAGTCTTGATTATCCTGTTTTCTTGTTGTTTCTTTCTCATCTGTAGTCTCCAAACATCTCTGTATGATAAATAATGGAGGTTGCAGTCATCTCTGCCTTTTGGCGCCTGGAAGGACTCATTCCTGTGCATGTCCCACCAACTTCTATCTTGCAGTTGATAATAGGACTTGCTTATCCAACTGCACAGCCAGTCAGGTGAGTGGAGGTCTTGAAATCAATTCATAGGATGTATGGGCAAGCTGAATTTTTATTCATGTAAATACTTTTTAAAACATCATTTTTTTTGTTTTGCATAACATTAGCTAATCATTCCATACATCATAGATAGAGTTACAGAGTAAAGGAAAAGCAATTACAATATAATTTTTCAAATCATGAGTGGGCATAGCAGAATCATCCAAGGAGATGTGATGTATTTAAGGAAAGCAAGGTCACTGAGGCATAGGATGAAAACTAAGTTATGTGCAGCTTAAACAAACAAAGAAGACTCTTAGATGATCTGCTCTGTATCACCATCTCCATCCCTCTTCCATTCCTCAGTTGATGTGATATGGAAAAAATGAATTGTGTCAAAAATGATTTATAGATTTTTTTCAAATTAAAATATTTTATGATCTAAATATATTTTTCTGAAACCCTTTTTTCTTCAAAATGTTGTCATGTGCAGTTAATATATCCCAGAATTAAAATTTTCTGCTTAATGATAGATGCATTGACTTGATTTTATTATTTAAAATTTTGGGCAACAGTCATATGACTATAAAATTTTGGTTTTGTTATATTTGAATCAGTATCTTGTTTCAGATAAAAATTCTCAAAGAAACTATGTCATTTGTGTGTGTGTGTGTGTGTGTGTGTGTGTATGTGTGTGTTTTATTTTTATTGATTTCAGAGAGGAAGGGAGAAGGAGATAGAAACATCAATGATGAGAGAGAATCATTGATCGTATGCCTCCTGAACTCCCCACACTGCGGGTGTAGCCCACAACCCAGGCATTTGCTCTGATTGGAAATTGGACCTTGGCCTCCTGGTTAATAGGTCGACACTCAACCACTGAGCCACACTGGCTGTGCTGTAATTTTTTTTTTTTAATGACTAATTTGGCCTGGCCAGCGTGATCTATGCTTTTGACTAGACATCAAAACCTCCTGATGGCAGTCCAAACAATTGCATGCTTCCTCAAGTATATGACAGGTGCACTAGAGGGCAAGGGTAATAACACTGATTATACACCAGAAACTTTTCCAACTTAATCTTCATAACAGTGGCCTGCACAAACCACCAGTCCTATTTAAAAGAAGACAAGACTGAGGCACCAAGAAGTTAAGTAACAAACCCTACATAATCCAGCCAATTTAAAGCAAAGTCAGGGTTACATTCACTAGAGGGCTGGTTTCAGAGACTGTGCCTTTAACCACTATACACACTGCCTCCCTGGAAGAGGGTCCATCTCTTCCCCTTTGTGCAGTTCTTTAATGTATGATGCTCATAGTCACAGCTGGAGAGGCAGGTTGAGCTGGTCTTAGCCTCTCTATTTCAAAAACAAGGAGACACTGAAAGAAATTCACTCTCTTCCATGGTGTCACCACTAGAACTGGAAAACCAACTAATTCAAATCAGAAAATTTTAATAATTAAGTTAGTCTTTTTAAAAAATATTTTAATAGTTTTTTTAAATATATATATATTAATTTATTTCAGAGAGGAATGGAGAGAAATAGAGATACAGAAACATCAATGATGAGAGAGAATAATTGATTGGTTGCCTCCTGCATGCCCCTACTGTGGGGGATCGAGCCTGTAACCCGGGCATATGCCTTTGACCGGAATCGAACCTGGGACCCTTTAGTCTGCAGGCCGACGCTCTATCCACTGAGCCAAACAGGCTAGGTATTTATTGATTTTTTAAAGAAAAAGTTAATGAACATCAGCTAATATAATCCTTAGTGGTTATCCTGATAAGCCTTGTGGATTATGTAGCCATTTTGTCTCTGATTCTTTCAAAAAAAGTCAGTTTATAGAAACAAATTTTAATCAGGTAGACATTAAAATGAAGTAAATAATCTAAGTATTTATAAATCAGACAATTAAGTTTTCAGATATAAATGTTGCAGTTTGAATTTATCTTATTAGAAAATTTTGATTTATTATCATCTAATGATTGCAACCAATAATATATGCCCCCCAAATGATATTGTGTTTTAAAAAAATAAAGTAGGTAAATCACACCAATAAGAATTATGTTATAATTGAAAATAAACATAAGAAAATCTGTACAAAAATTAAACCAATTTTATAGTAATAACAACTTCAAATATTAAATTTAAGTCATTTAAATTGAAAATAAAAAGTAATTTAAAATGGCTTTACTTATCTTTTAAGTAAAGATAAGTTTGTTTTCAAAATATTTATTTATTTATTTTAGAGAGGAAGGAAGAGGGAGAGAGATAGAAACATCAATGATGAGAATCATTGATCAGCTGCCTCCTGCATTCCCCCTGCTGGGGATCAAACTCACAACTCAGGTATGCAGCCTTGACCGGAATCGAACCCAGGACCCTTCAGACCGCAGGCTGACGCTCTATCCACTGAGGCAAACCAGCTAGGGCGAGACTTTTCCTGTTTTAACTGAACTTCACCTCTAGTATATGTGGGATTTGCATTTTATTCCTGTATCTGTTTAGTAGACATGTATTTAGTAGTTTATTTATAGCTTCTTTTTGTGAGTGATAATTGCAGTCTGCAATTTACTTTATAAAGATATTGGTCTTGGAGAACATTTACCATGAAGAATATTTTATATTTATATTCAGCATTAATCTTTTTTTTGTTGTTAATCCTCACCCAAAGATATTTTCTCATTGATTTTTAGAGAGTAGAAGGAGAGGGAGAGACAGATAAAAACTGATGTGAGAGAGACACATCAATTGGTTGCCTCCTGCACATGCCCCAACCCAGGCAGAATTGAGCCTACAACCTAGGTACATGCCCTTGACTGGAATCAAACCCAGGACCTTTCAGGTTACAGGATGATGCTCTAACCACTGAACAACCAGCTAGGGCTAGCATTAATCTTTTTAAAGTTACTGTATTTAAGTATGAAAAAAAAATGAAGTCATGAAGCCGAGACACATCTTCCTCTGAGAGTAAATGTTGACTAGCATAAAATATAATGGAAGTATGTTTTACCCCTGCCTTCTCTTAACTCAAAACCTTCAATAATCTTATTAAAACTGAAATGGCATGCAAACCAGAATAGCATATGTAATTGCAACAGTAGGTGTTTATTTAAATCAGGCATATTTTAGTGTATTTAAAAATGCGAATTTTAGATATGTTTTTTTCAAATCTTGACTGGGAAGACTTTGAATATACCCAGGAGAACTGAAATCTTCTTACTAATGTACTTTGCTATACTGAAAGGACTGGAAACGTTTAATGTTCAGGGCAATTGCTTTCATACTTAACCTTATATCCCCCAGATAATCACTATCCATAAAAGTAATATTTCCCCTCTCATAATTTATGAAAGCCACAGCAGCCATGACCAGAGACAAAGCCAACATGGAAAAATTGCTCCAATGGTCAGATCTTCCCCTGAAATAACATTGCTCTGTTGCTCTCCAGTATTGTCACTGGAAATAATAAGAAAAAAAAATCCACCCTCTTATTTAAAAAAAAAATAATGTAAATCTACTCTGAAGCAACTCCGTGATATCCAGACATTTGCAGCAAAGATTAACATCCAATTCTCTCTTACTTGAAGAAAGTAACAGTATTTTAAATGAACAAAACTTTTAGTGTGCTAATCCATTTTCCTTAGAGAAAATTGAACCTAGGCTATATCTTTCTATGTTGCAAATGTGTCTGGCATATAACATGCTTCAATAAATGCCACCTTGCTTTTAATAACTCATGTGGGGATTATAACAGAAACACTTCAAAAGAAAATTAATAAAGTTTATGAAATTAACTAATATTTTTAATTTCAGAAGAATATTGTGATGTTTTTCACTGAATTTCTATTAAAATGCAGAAGAAAAATTATAATGCTGCAACAAATATTCTAAACATGATCTATTGCTTGGTTTTTATAATTTAAAGTGAATCTTTTGATAGCTATTTCAGGTATATGTGCTCTCTGTGTGGAACGTATGATTTTCTTTGATTTCTTTTATCAAATCAGAGTAAGCCTAGAACTGAATGTTGCAAAGAAAGAGATTAGTTTGTGGTCTGAGATCACTAAGGAATGAATTGACTGAGCTTTCTTGATCTCTGTGTACATATGGCCAATAGCAAAGGGAGCAATAGTCCGTACTCTGCTTCAGGGGATGAATTTCAGTTCACATAACCTTCCTTACAATATTAATCTGGAAATTTTCACTAGCAACAAGTTACCCACATGCTACATAGCCTGTAGGTAAGTATTGCCATATAACATTTTCAACTTATTGAATGGTGTTTTAAATAATTGTAAGAACAAGTTTTATTATAGCAGTTTTCTTCTGTTTCCCTTTTTAAAAGCCAGCAGAAAAAACTATTGCAGCCTTATTTTTAGCTTTTTAGTTATCAAAATCTCTCTTATTTATCCGGAAAGCTCATGTGTATTAACTAAGCATTCTACAAACTGAAAATAATGTATCATTCTCACCTGCTTTAAGAAATATCTTAAGATTTATGTAGAGCAGATATTCATGATGACCAAAGACAGTATGTGTATGTTCAGGAAATTCCATGGAATCACAGAATGATGGAGCTGGGGAGGGTCCTTCAGATTATCTCCACCTCCTCATTTGCTGGCTAAGGAACAGAGACAGAAATGTGAATCGAATTGTCCAAGATTCCTGAGAAAATACAATGAAATTAAGTTAATCTAAATTAACTAAATTAAATTAACTAGGTACCTCTTCCTAATAATTTTTATCCCTGTTCAGTGTTTAGCAAACTTTTTCAATAAAGGGCCAGATAATAAGTATTTCAGGGTTTGCTGGCCACATGGTCTCTGTAGCAATCAGTGAACTCTGTCTGGTGCAATAGCACCCACAGACAGTATGTAAATGGGTGATCTCCTCTGTGCTCAGGCAGTCCCAGGAGGCTTACCTGGACAATGTGCTTTCCTGGAAGATTATTTTGCTGCTGATTGTTGTGCATTTATTCCCTGCCATGGAATTCTCTAAACCCACCATAGTTCACATTTGCCACAAGGGATTAGGCTAGGCTGCTCTGCCCTGGTGAGTTTTTAAATACCTGTTATATACGAGTAGGATTTCAACTTTCTTACTTTCTTTTTTTAAGTTTCGCTGCAAAACTGATAAATGTATTCCATTCTGGTGGAAATGTGACACCGTGGACGACTGTGGTGATGGATCTGATGAACCTGATGATTGTCGTGAGTACATTAGAGAATGTGGGAATTTAGAATTTAGAGCTTCTTAAATCCCTGACATGAAAACTTTAAGCTACATCTACAGAATCCCTTTCTGATACCTTTTCAAAATTATAAAGAAAGATTTTATATGTCTATATTTAAAAATACAACAAAAATTTGTTGCAATTTCTTGGGTATATATCTGTAACTACGTTTAGTGTGACAGCATCAGCAATTTGTTAGTTTTCTAATTTTATTCACTTATGGAATAACTACATTGCTTCATGTAATGATCAGAACAGTAACAATCAGCATGATTTTGACTTAATATATCACCAATCTGGAGACAAAAATGGGGAAGTTTTCAATGTCACTCACTGACTGAAATCTTACCATTAACGGATACAATTTTTGCACTTTCCTGTCAGTATTAAAATACCAAAAATCTATGAAAAGTCAGATTTTTCCAATATAGCTCATTAGTTTGCAGTTAGGCAATTTAGTATGCTCTTAGTAGTTGCCTTAAAGTGACTAGCAATTAGGTATGTCTGGACATCTGACTGTGATTGGCATTTTTTTAAAGCTATCTTTGGTAACTTTGATTGTAATGAACAATCGGCCGACTTTTCCTTGATAGCCTGTATAGTTCACTCCATGGGTCATTCCAATACTGTTCTGTCAATTTGAAGATACCTGCGTAGTCAATCATTATAATTCCCTCAACATCCCAGTGGATGGTTACCATGATTTGGCCTTGACATTTCCGTTCAAGATTCTTCTTAGGCTTGCACTAAAGGAGGACAATGTGCTGTCATAGTGAAAGCTAGCTGCTTCCTTCTGCAGATTTCCCACCACATAATTACAAGGCTGTTTCAAACCCACAGTCACTAGATAGTTACCTGACGAACTGTATTCCATCGCTCACTTGAAATCCTTTCGCATAGCTCATTTATATGTTTGAAAGCAGCAAGTAATATATTCAATAGGAAGAAAAAATGTTATGAAAGTCATCGCTTTTCTAATATTCTTTTTATGATTCTGAAAGATCCTCTGTTCTTTGATTTATTAATATTGTTTTTATTTTTATTATGAGAGATGACATATAAAAAGTATTATCTGAATGGGATAGATATACTGTTATGGCTGAGTAATTCTTTTTTAAGTTATTGAATTAAAATAAATATCAAAGTAATAAGAAATATTGAGTACCAATTGAGGTTTACTCATTTAAAGAAAGTTATTAATTTCCCCACAATAAGGTAAACTTTCTCTCGATATAGTAAAGAAAGTAAATACAACTGATTTGTGTCATTCATAGAAATAAACACACATAAATGTGTTAATTTAGTCCTCATGTGAACATGACCTTTCCCACCCAGATTCCCTATTGGGAAATATCACCATGATGCCCTGCACAGAGAGTCCTTAACACCAATGCTTTCCCTTCTAACATAGTTTCAGTTCCTGAACTCTACTTTAATCCAGATTAAAATTTCATGCTGCAATCAAATTTATATACAAAAATTAACTAAACATTTACTTTAATGAGTTTTGTTCACATTTATGCACTGACAGGATTGCAGTATTTAAATACTGACAATTTATGAAAAGTCAGACTGTATGGTGAGCAAACAAAACTTTAATGTCTTTTGAAGGGAACCTAAGAGACATCTGATACCTAAAAACCTCTTATCTTGGTTAAATACCAATACTACACATTCTTATTGGTGGCATTATCTTTGTGATTTTTAAAATATATTTTTACTGACTGTAGAGAGAAAGAGAGAGAGAGAAACATTAATGACGGGAATCATTGATTGGCTACCTCCCGCACCCCCCTAGTGGGGATTGAGCAGCAACTGAGGCATGTGCCCTGACAGGAAATCAAATCCAGACCTTCTGGTTCATAGGTCGTCGCTCAGCCACGGAGCCACATCAACCAGGTCTCTGTGATCTTTTAATAAATGATCTCTTACTTGGAGTTGATGGGTTAACAGCATTGAACATCTGTAGGCATAATTTAATTTCGAGAGTCATGGTGAGGTGGAAATGATGTACATGAGTCTGTGGAGTGTGTAGAATTCATTTTTGAGTAGCTATATCATCAACATTGGGGAGTACTAAGAGATACTGACAATACCTATACTTGTACTTTAAAGGACAGGAAAGCTTGATCCCAGTTTCACATACTTGCATACTTACATAATGTTTTTTACATAAATGTAGATAGGAGACATGCATCAAAAATTCTCTGGCATCATGAGTTTGTAATTCCATTGCCTATGAGATTTGAATTCACCATGGATCATTCTAGAGGCAAATTTAAAAGTCAGTGAGGCTTCCCAGTTCTTTCCCAGACATAGAAGCAGGAATTTACCTCATTCTTATGGGAGGGTGTTTTAGTAGCAAAGGAATATTACAGGAAACTTTACAGGAAGCAATAGAAAATAGAAGAAATGAACATGTTTAGAGCATGAGAAAATTAAGTATAGCACAGTTGAAACATTGAGTGTGTTTAATAAATGTTATAGATTGTAGGTACATGACTCAGCATTTTAGAACTCACTTCTATGGAAGTCAGCATGTATTAAGAGTTATTTTTTAAATGTTAAGAAAATGTTTAATTAATGTCATAATTATAAACATGTTATTTTCCATAAAAAATTTAATATATAATTTATCAACATTTGATTGACTGGCTTGAATTAATAAGTCATTATTAGCTTCTATTAATCTCAAAGTCAGTGATTAGTAACATACATTAGGATCATCAGTCAAAAAAATGTTTTATTACCAGCAAGATAGTTTGTTAGAAGACTTCAAAGTCAGATCTGGATTTAAATTCTGAGTCTGACACTTGAAACTTTTCTGTCCATGAAGATTAATTTCCTCATTTATAAAAGTGCTTATGATGTTGAGGTGAGAAGTTTATGAGGAGATTCAATTAGTTACTGTATGTGAAAGGGCCTCACACAATGCCTGATACTTAGTAGATACTTAATAAATCCTACTTCATTATTATCATTCCTTATGTAAACTCAAAAATATAGCAGATAAAATGAACTATTATCTGGGTTTTATTTACTATAATAAAATATGTGTTGTACATAAAAATCATTAGTATTTATAAGACATTGCCCTTTACATTAATACAATTATAGAAATGAATATAAATAAATCTGATTTAAAATGTGATACCTATAGGTAGCATTTGCTTTAAGTAGTTCTGGGAAGTATGTTTTGGAGGCGATATTCCTCTCTTACACACAACAGGTGTCAAAGTGACCAAAGATAAATGATTTTTAAAAATGATATTGGAGTAACTATTTTTTAAAATTACAATAAATTCTATTCTGTCACTAAATTCTCTATCATTTATTTGAAGTAAGGAGGCATTTATGTTTTTAAATCTATACCTTTATATTTATAGGTTGATAATTGCTTTCTTAACTTTATTTGAAATGTAATCTTGAGGCAATCTGCGTTGTTCATAGTGTAGCTGTGCATCTGAATCCTATGGCTATAGATGTGAGACACTGCCATTGTGCTCTAGGATATGCTTACTATAATAATGGTATGAACATTTGAGTGTCAGAAAAGCTCTGTTTAGGAAGTCATGAGCTAAGATTGTCCTTCCACAATACCTGTATGTTTTCTCCCCCAGCTGAATTTAAATGTCAGCCAGGCCGATTTCAGTGTGGAACAGGGCTCTGCGCTCTGCCTGCTTTCATCTGTGATGGAGAGAATGACTGCGGAGACAATTCTGATGAACTCAACTGTGGTAGGTGATTAATTTTTTAACTAAGGAACATAAATCTAATTCTTAACTGTTTATGTCCACACTGACATTTTTTATTGTTGATTTGAAAGAGAGAGGAGAGCCGAAACTGGTTTGGCTCAGTGGATAGAGCGTCGGCCTGCGGACTGAAAGGTCCCAGGTTCGATTCCGGTCAAGGGCATGTACCTGGGTTGCGGGCTCATCCCCTGTAGGAGATGTGCAGGAGGCAGCTGATCGATGTTTCTCTCTCATCGATGTTTCTAACTCTCTATCGCTCTCCCTTCCTCTCTGTAAAAAATCAATAAAATATATATTTAAAAAAAAGAAAGAAAGAGAGAGGAGAAATCACTCAATTTTTTGTTCCACTTATTTATGCATTCATTGGTTGATTTTTGTACAGTGTATGTGCCCTAACTGGGAAACAAACCCACAACCCTGGCATATTTGAATGATATCTGTCCAGGGTGTGCCCACACTGATTTAAATGCAGACACGAGTTTCGGCACAAATAATTTTGCTCTTTTTATCTTTTAGATACACATGTCTGCCTCTCAGGTCAGTTCAAGTGTACCAAGAATCAGAAATGTATCCCAGTAAACCTCAGATGTAATGGACAAGATGACTGTGGTGATGAGGAAGATGAAAAGGACTGTCGTAAGTCACCTAAGAATGTTCGTCTTATATTACTTCTGACCTCCAACTGAAATTGGTCTAAAAATTATTATTATGCCTTGTAAATTTACACAATGTCGAAATATATAATAGCAACTGTGCCACATAATTTCATGCAGTTGTTTATTGGTTATTGGGATGGGTTATTTAATAAGCTCTAAATGAAGAAATTGAAGAAAATTAAAACATGGGTCATCTTTACTTAAAAGCTACTTGGAGATTGTGGCAATAATTAAACAAAATTCATTCATTCATATCATTCTTAAGAGAAGCAGCAAAAACAGCATTATAGGTGATTATGGAATTGTTTCATACATTTATTTTTTTGCTCATAGTAAGTAGGTATAGGTAATTTTCTAATGATTAGTTAGTCACTTGAAATTAACTCTATTTTAATTAGAGGTTGCTTCCCCCTACCCCCATAGAATACATTTAAACATAAGAGAGGAAATAAAATCTGGGCAAAATAACAAGAAAACTATTTGTTAAAAACTGTAAATAAGACCCTATTTAATGTATCGTAACAAGCTACTTCAAAGAACAATAGTAAAATATTTTCCATTTTGTTCACCTCTTATTTCCATCAACTGCCTAAATTCAAATTACTTTAAGTGAAAGAGAAAACAATTTACATACACGTGCATAGGCAGGCAGGCTGGTGCACGAACACACACACACGCACACACACAGAGGCTCTGAAGGATAGATAGAGCACCTGTCAAGTTTCAGGATTTCAAGATATGCTGTGAACATTTCTGTCTTGTGGAAGTTTTATTTTATTCCTCTAAAAAATTTATCAGTAAATAATGTGCAGTCATCCAGCAATTTGATTAAGAGGATGCATTCAGAATAAAGTCAGCCCCAGGTCTTTATGGTTAGCCATTCTAGAAGCTGATCATTAAACTCACTAGGATTTGCGATGTGGTTTACAGTCTAAGTCAGATGTTCACCTCTTCCCTAAAAGACAACACAACTAGAGATTTTGGTAAATTTTGTGCTTTTTATTTCTTCATTGACTAGTATCTTTCAATTTTAGTAATTTTTTTTCATTTATAAAACTGACTATATATCAAATTTAAAATTTATTTATCTGGAAAAAATTATTCTGAAACTCCCTTAATTGTCTGTGTATAAAGTTAGTTTTTAAATGTAATCTAATTTAGGTGGGACTGTTTTGAAAACTCTGATTTTTATCAAATACATCATTGGAGAAATACGTTTATATTTATTTCTACTGAAAGATATCATGAATACATTATAATTAAAAGTTAAAACTCTTCACCTTCAGAGCCTCATTAATTAAAAGATGATACATTTTCAACTACCTTAAGCATTTGTTTGTCAATTGCTTTTTATATAGAGTATCCTTTTTTGCTCAATATCTCCACCCCTTACCCAGCCCTGCCCCCACCCCACAACTATTCTTGTCCAAAGCTGCATTTTAATAGGTGTTTTCCTCTTAAGCTGAAAACAGCTGTTCTCCAGACTATTTTCAATGTAAAACTACCAAGCATTGCATTTCCAAGCTGTGGGTTTGTGATGAGGATCCGGACTGTGCAGACGCATCAGACGAAGCCAACTGTGGTGAGTGTTGTGTGACTGTGGATCTTACCTATGGTGTTCATGTCATCATCTGAGATGGCCATAGTGCAATGAATCTGAACACAATTCTGATGGGACTGAAGTCTTACATGAGAAAGTCTGTCTCTGTGTTCTCAGAGTCAACAATCTCAGGTTGGCTATTTCATAAAAAGAAAGGAGGGGTAAGCAAAAGAGTAAGTATTGCTTAGTATAAGTCAAAACTATTTCTGGAAATATAGATTTTAAAAAAGATAAGATAAAACTATCTTATTTTAGAGGATGTACATGATATTAGCATTTAATAAATAGAAACGACAAATACTATTTTCATATTGTTCTAGACTTAATTTTTCTGCTTAAATTCATATGATTTTTCATTCATTCAATGAATATTAATTCTTAAATATGATAAAAATATAGGAAAAATAATGAAAGCATTTGTTCTGTTTTAATAGATAACAGTGATCACTTGTTAGTATTTGTTTCTGAAATAGTAATGTTTTCACTTCAAATCATTTATTTTAATTACAACATTTATTCCTTAATTAACATTGCAAAAATGGAGAACATATTCATTTTGTTTAATATATTTTATCCTATCTTAAAAATGTTGAAAGCTAGACAGAAGTGAACAATAGTTGTCAGGTGTAATTTATTTCATGAACACTTATTAAACATTTATTTGAGACTATTTTATAGGTGAATACACCAAACAGCATTGTTGGGGAAATAAAAAATATCAACTAGCAATTGATTAGAGAAGACAAAGTTTGCCTAAGTTAAAGATAGGACTTTCAGGCTTCTTAGACAAAATTGTGTTAAATTCATTTGCTAGATTTCACATTTGCCAGTTCCCAGTGAAACATTCTTTTCATCAGTTTTTCTGCTTGGGAGTTTCTGGTAAACGCCTTACTCACTCCCCAAGTCTCTGGATTCCACTATTTGTTCTGCCACATCACACCTCCCTGTGGTTGCATTTCCTGATTTCTTTTCCTATCTCCCTTCACCTTATCTAGAATTCTGTGCCATCTAAGAGAGTCTTGCTTCTAAATTGGTTAAGAATCTTTTGCTTCTTTTGAGCAGTTTTGATGTATAAACTGCTGCTTGGCTAATTATTTTTAATTAATGTGTTAGCTGTAATCACACTAACTGGAGGTTGTGAGAGGAACTTGAGCTTCCCACAGTAGCTTTGTACTTTCCACAGCCTGTTTTTCCCAACACTGAACATGCTCAAAACAAAAGATAGAATTGATTAAAGTGTGTTTTTATTTTCCCTTAAATGCCTGGTGAGGAAACTTGAATCAGCTACTCAAGCTATAGGAATATAAGGATCAGAATTTTTTTAATTAAAGAAAGTGCCTGTTAAATTATAAAGCATTTAAAACTTACCGACTTGTACAGAAAGTTATACAGTAAGCACCATGTACCATTTTAAATAGATGTTAACATTTGGCCTAAGAGATCTCTTTTGAACACCCAAATCCCAGCAATAGCCACTAAAGCCCACCTCTATCCTTTTCCTTCTCTTCCTCCACCTGTCCTGAAGCCAGAAGTGGTTATGCATCATTCACATGTTTTCTGTTTAACTTTTACTCTATTGGTAAGCATTCATTAATATGTACCTAATAGATTATAGCATTCTTAATGTTTACATAAATAGTGTTATATTTTCTATACTAATTTGAAGCATAACATTTTCTGGTATTCTAGTGTATTAATGTGAATAACACATTTTCGTATTAAAGGTTACTGCTACATGTTACAATTACTATGCATTCATTAGCAAATAAAGCACAAAACAGTTAATAAAATCTGTCCTATTGACACCATAGAGTCTCAGTTCTCAAGTTGTCACTTTGCATGAGAGTTCATTCAAAGCAGATGGGACAATATTCAGAGTCAGGATTCTGTCAACATTTAGGATAGAAAGCCTGGAATGGGCCTGGGGAGAAAGCTTTAATACTGATGACTATTAATATAATAAAATTATTCATACTATTTTGATTTACTTACATGCAAATTTAGTTATTTGCAGAATTTTTATTACCTTGCACTTAGAATCACATTTAGTATGTGATATTTGTCTTTCTCTGACTGGCTTATTTTGCATAACATAATCGTCTCCAGGTCCCTCCAGGTCTCACTTATATGTGGAATCTAATGACCAAATAAACTGATGAATAAAATAGAACCAGAGGCATGGAAACATGGAACAGACTGACAAATCTCAGAGGAAAAGGGGAAGGGAAGAGATTATATAAAGATCTTATATGCATATAGGCCTTGTCCATGAACACAGACAATAGGGTGGTAAAGGCCTGGGGCAGGGCGGGAACCAGGTGGTGGGGAGCAAGGGGAAAAAACGGAGAGACGACATCTGTAATACTCTCAATAATAACGATGAAAAAGAATAACATTTAGCAAATGATAGTCCCATGATTTCAAGATAATTCATGGAAGAAAAGTTTTGTGCTCATATGTGCAGGAAGCATGATGTACTACATTCTGTATTTTGGAAAACAGTGCATACTTATACTTATTCAGTGAAGACATTTTCTAACATGTGACATCACAAAATCTGTCTTAGATGCTTGGAGGGTGGGGTTATGTACCTTTATGTTAGCAGGTGGGAAGGAGGACGGGCTGCTATCTGCTCCCTCTCTGGGGGTGTGGCGCTCTCTGCTGCCCAATTGATATGATCTGCATCTGTGCTGTAATCTCAGCTGTGGATGCAGGCATCACCCCTCATTGCTTGAGTGTAGGCCAATTTCTGTCAATGTCATTTTCGTACGTGTGAGTATATCTATGTGTGAGTGTGTGAGTGTGAGTGTGTGAGTGTGTGAGTGTGAGTGTGTGAGTGTGTGTGTGTGTGTGTGTGAGTGTGTGAGTGTATGAGTGTGTGAGTGTGTGTGTGTATGAAGAGATAAATAAAGAGCCTCTTTTATACTGAAATACTTTGGTTTGAATAAAGCCCTTGAAGGAGAGGCTATCCTTAGAAATTGTCCTCTAGCTTCTCTACAAAGAAATGAATGAGCTGCATGTGAATCATTAAGCTGTCTAAGTGAACACATTTAGTCTTCCTGTAACTATCTTTAGTACCTTTCAGGCATTGACTCTCTCTCTACCAAGAAGATGTACATTATTTGCTGATGTCATGTTATTTTTTCTCTCTGTCTTAATAATAGAGAAAACTGTGATATTTAAATTTTGTTGCACAAAACTGAAATGGAGTCCACACAATGAGTCAGGAGGCAGGCAAACTATTCCAAACTTTGGATTGATCTGTAGCAAAAGCCATAAGAGAAAATAGCTTTTGCCCAGTGAGGTTTATAATTGAGTTTGTCACAAAGAGAAACTACATATTTATTTTAATAAGAACCAATTTGTGTAGTTGATTTTCTTAAAGAAATAGAGTAAAAAATTTAATAGTCCATGACATTGTTGTTTGAAAAATACTTGCTCCCCTCATCCTTTGCCAACTATATTTAATTCTCTAGAAACAAAAAATAAAATAACACACACACATACACATATACACACACACAAGCAAAATCTAGTTGTAGATTTATAGCAGTATGTGAGAAGAATGAGTGTTATACACCGTATAATAACAATATGTAAGAAATGTAGAACTTTAACATTTTTCTTTCTTTAGGCTACCATTAGAACAAAAATATTCATGTTTGTTTTAGTTTATGTTTCTGTTTGCATAACATTTGGGTTGGCTATTTCCTTGGAGAATATTCTACCATTTACATTTTCAGGGCTTAGTCTATTTTGCTTAGTACTATGTTTATATGATTATGCTGTATATTAGTAAATGAAAATAAGTAGAGTGAAAGTTGGTAATGCTTTTTTTAACACCAATGTATGGTAATGCATTTATGTATAGAAAATATTATTTTTTATCCATTTAAGAAAACTTATATTTGTGTTTATTAATTAAAATCAGTTGAGATTCAAGCAGTATCAGATTTTGCTTATGAAAAGACTATACATTATTATCCATTAACATTTCAGGACATTATATAGTAATGAGAATAAAAGACCTTATATAGAGTTGTAACTGTGCCATTTATTAGCTTTGTGATCTGTGTACAGAGTACTGATATTGTATAGATGACTATTCTGTTAGCCATACTTATGATTCAATCAGTCTAGATTCAAAGTCCAGGATGCACTTTGAATGCTAGATTTTTCATGCCATTAGACCACTGTTCATATATGGTTCCATGTTTATAATTCATGAGGGAAATAATGTGGGTGGAGAGACAGGTAATGTAGGATTTAGTTTGAGATATGAACTTTGTTATCTCTTTCTAAGTTATAGATGTCAGAGTAAATTATTACTTATTTTATTGTCCTTTGAAATCTCAACCTTACAATTAATATTTACATTTCTTTAATTAAAAAATTTGAGAGATATTATAAACCAAAAGTAGACAGCAGATCTTCCATATGGATCACGTTATCCATATGATTTCAACACTTCCCTTCACTAGGAAGAAAGAAAAAAATTTGAACAGGGCATAACTTTCTTACCAGCAATTCAATATTATCTAACTCCATGTTCATACTCTGAACTATCCGGAGTGTGATCCACAGCTTACCATCTATGTCATGCGGGCCACACATTTGAAAAATTTCTTCTCCTCTTGAGTAAATTAATAAACAAACACAAATATAGTTTTATTTTTGAGATCATGCATTTTCTTCTTCCTGAAGTTTTCCGATGATTATATATGTGTATGTGTGTATCTACATTTGCTGTAGATACATCATACCTGGAGTGTTTTCAGGGAATGAAGCCATTCCTAAGATTCTAACTCTTTGCATTATGCAAGTCATTTAAGGAATTGTAATAGTGCTTTTTAAAAGGGTGTCTGCATTGTTTTACTATTCTAAAGTTCCTCCCAGTATAAATAAAGAGTAAATAATGCTGAAGATATATCAGTAGAGAAAATCAATTCTAGAAATATTGTGATCAATTTTTCTTATTAATT